ATAGAAAATACAACAAAGAGTCAATAATAAAAATAATGATAGAATAAAATAATGTTTATGTATTTTAATGACATTAATAACTGTATAATTTAGAATTCGGAGTTAGAATATTTTCAATGAAATATGAATCACTTTCATTTTAATTCATTTCATTTTATTCATTATTTAAGAAGATTGTATCGTATAATTGAAACATTTAATGATTGAATAATATTTAAATACATAATATGATATTAATTATTCAACATGTTTAAACATACCAAATCATGAAATATAAATATGAAAGTACAATATTAATAGAAGTTAAATTACTTGAAATTTGTTATTTTACATATTGTTATTCATTAACAACAATTAATCTTCATTCATCTGTTATTGAAATAGACATAATTCCATTCATTAATTTAACTCATTAAAATAAATTAATATCACACTAACAATAACATCATTTAGAACAACTTTGTTTTTATAAATGTTTGTGTAAATAAATATTAAGAAAAAACTGAAGAATATCAGAAGAATGACTATAAACAGTACTGAAAAAGAAGAAAAGATTAAAAAAAAATTTAATGATATAATTTTGATTAAAAATAAATACATAACAAACAAAGGAATGAAAAATCATTCATTAAACAATCACATACTTATTGATATGAATATTTGTTTACAATTACTTTATTTCATGACATTTCATTCATCTTCTTCAATAATTTAATTCATAAACCCAAATTATATCAACAATATTTAATGATAAATACAATGAAAAAGAATGACAATTATAGAAAGAAATAATCAATAATAATTATTAATTACTTAAATATATTTAATCATTTGAAATTATTTTAAAACAATAAATGAGTAAAATAAAAGAGAAGAAATACCACTTCTAAATAATAATATTTGTTTATTTGTGTTTTATTGTTTTGAGATGTCAATTGTTTAACACCATCGTTATTTTCTTCATCAACTTTCATGTTATTCGTTGTTTTGATATATTTGGTGATGAGTTTATATTTTCATAACTATCATCCATTTTATTAATTTATTCTTTTATAATTTATCTCTTTTGATTTAGTCTTATTTCATATTTCTATACATTTAATCTTCTTTATTTAAATTATTTACTTATTTATAAAAGAGTATTAACCATTACCATATATATATTTCAATGATAATTTAATTTGAGAAATGTCAATAACTTTATTATTTATCTCATCTAAATTCAATAACCATTACTATTCAACACTTTCATAATATGAATAATCATTTATTATATTGTACAAAAATAACTTTCTAATTCATTTCATCATCTAATTTTATATAATATCATTAAAATAAATAATTTTCTCTTATTCTTTGTTTCATATGATTAATAACAATACTACTATTACAATTACACCAGAAGTTATTTGTTTTTACCAATAATAACATCATTATTCGATAACAATTTGAAGAATTGAAGAATAGTTTTACTCTATGACTTTGTGTGTTATTTTCTTACAAAATCTATGAATTTACAAGAGATATATACAAATAAATAAGAAATAGAATAAATAAAATAGATAAAACAACATATGATAGAATAAATCTAATACCATTTTTAATAAATGAGTTAGTAAATGAAGAAGACATTAAAGTAATTAAATAATTAAAAAAAGACATAAAAAAATGACATTATTAAAGAAATTAAAAAAGTTATGATTAAAAATGTGATGAATGTAATGAAATACTAATTCTACAACAACAAAAAATAAACTCTGAAGAGTTTCTAAAAAAAAAGAATCAAAGACAAGACTCATCTTCATTAAACAAAGAATAATAATAATAAAAAAAAAAAAAAAACAAATCTATTAATACTAAATTAGTTGAATTTTAATATTTCCAAATAATTTTAAAGTCATGTTGAGAACATTCAAATGAATATACTTGTTTTGTTCCATAAAGTCTTAACACTTGTTGATATTCACCATCAATTAATAATGACTCAATTATAAAGCGATGAGTTTTTGAATAAGTATCAATGTTGTATGTTGAATTAATTAAAGAATAAAAACCAATTAATGAATTTTTAAAATAATGTAATTCAGCTTTTGTAGGTTGGTTTTGTCTAAAATAAATAATAGGATTCTTTTTGACTAAATTATGAATTGAAGAGTAAAAATGATCAAATGAAATATTAAATAATTTTCTATACTCAGTTGTAATTGAATTAATTATTACAACCCCATAATCTTTTATAAATTCCATTAATTTTAGTATTGCCACTAATTCATCATATGAATGATAACATTCATATATTTTAACTCTTTTCAACTTTTCTTCGTTATGAATTCTGTTTGATAAATCATATAAATCAAATTGAGGTATTATATTAATAAAATAAACAATAGTTTGTTCATTTAATTCAAGAATATTTGATATTAATTGGTTCATAAATTGAATTTCTCCTGAACCAGGAATGCTGAATACTTCTATTTCATTATGGTCTATTAAAGAAATTGAAAACAACTCAAATACACCAGTTTTAATCATAATGTTTTCTCTCTGTTTATTTTTTTATTATTTCTGAAAGTTAAAACTCTTCACTTTTTCAAAAAAAAAAAGAAATTGAAAAAATAAAGAAAAAAAAAAAGAATTAAAAGTAATGCAAAAGATTAAACTCCCTCCAAGACCAGAAAGTGTTTGCTCATCTACACCATGCAAATCAATATCACAGATTAGACATTTAATTAAAGAAGGTAAATATGAAATTTCACCACACCCACCATTTGAGAATCGACTTGAAAATGTTATTATGCCTGAAGATAGATATTTACCAATGAACATGTTATTTTCAGGAAAAAATCATCTTCCTAATTTACCTTTATTTCGACAACACTTAATAAGACAAGGTAAATTAACACAAGAAGCTGCTATTGCACTTATTAAACAAGCAAGAGATATATTTAAGAAAGAAGCGAATTTATTAACAGTATATGCACCAGTAGTAATATTAGGAGATATTCATGGACAATTTTATGATATGTTAAATGTTATGGATATGTTAGGAAGTCCAAATAAAACACAATACTTATTTTTAGGGGATTATGTTGATAGAGGAGATTATTCAGCAGAAGTATTATTTTACTTATTAGCACATAAAATATGTTATCCTGAACGTGTTTTTATGTTAAGAGGAAATCATGAAACAAGATTAATGTGTGAATATATGACATTTTTATTAGAATGTAATAACAAATACAATATGAAAATATATAATGAATTTTTAACATTATTTGATTCATTACCATTATCTGCATTAATTGAAGGAAATATTAATGGAAGAGTACTTTGTATGCATGGAGGAATTGGTCCTGATATTAATACATTAACTGATATTAATAATATTAATAGATTTATGGAACCACCAGGACAAGGACCATTAACAGATTTATTATGGTCAGACCCTATTAATGAATGGGATCCAGATGATCCAGAATGGGAAGGAATTTCACGATATGAATGGAGTAAAATTACATTTTGTGAAAATACAATGAGACATACATCATATTTTTATGGAAGAGGAGCATTAGAACCATTTTTACAAAGAAATAATCTTGCTAGTATTGTTCGTGGTCATCAAGTTCAAGATGATGGATATTTTGAACATACATTTTTAACAATTGATCGTCCTCTTCCATTATGTTTTACTATTTTTTCAGCACCAAATTATTGTGATCAATATAATAATCAAGGAGCATTATTATCAATTTCAAATTCACCATTTGATATTAAAACATTCTTATGGAAAGATCATCCATTCCAACTTCCAGAATTTCAAGATGGATTTAGTTTTTCACTTCCATATTTATTAGAACATTGTGTTAGAATTTTACAAGATTTAGTTATTTCTATTAAAGATAAAAAACAACAAACAATTGAAGATGTTGCAGCAGATGCACGTTTAAAACAAAAAACTCAACAACTTTTTGCTAAATCACAAAAAATACGAGAAAATCAAGAAAAATATCGAGCTATTTTATCAAACTCATATCATAAAAATATGACTAAATTTGAAAAAGCATTACAACTTGATAAACAAAATGAACAATTCCCAACACCAGAAATGATTGCATCAAAACAATCAAATCATACTGGATTATTAAGAAGAGGTGCATCATCTCCTGCTTTATTACAACGTTTACAACATGATCAATCTTTCTTACTTGATCATTCTTCTAAAAAAATACCTGTTTCAAATCAACCTGTTTCATCATCTTCTCATCAACAATCAAATCTTTCTCAAATGAAAAGACAATCATCTAAAACATTTAAACCCCATCAAAAGAAATAAAATCATTTAAAATGACAATCATTTATTAAAATTTCCTTCTTTTAATTTATACTCCTTTTTCTTTTCTTTTTTTACCTCTTTCTTGTCGTTGTTGTTCTAATCGTTCATCTGCAAATGGTATTTCATTTTCTTCTATACTCATCTCTTCTTCATATTTAATACCCATTCTTTTTACTTCTTGAATTTTTGGCATTTTAACTAAACACATTCCTTTAGCCACTTCATTATAAACTAACTTTTTAATAGCAAAAATATATTTACATTGATGTTCTCCATATCCTTTACAAAAAGATACAAATGCATTTTGTGATTTTTTAAATACAGTACGATTTTTACAACATATTTCTCTAATTTTATTGAAATATTCTTTTTCTTCTTCTTCATTTCTTTCAATTGTTCTTTCAATAATTTTTACATTTTTCTTTTCCATTAATAAAATAAAACTTTTTTCTAATGGTCCAAGAAATATTAATGAATGTCCAATACTTCCCATTCGAGCTGTTCTTCCAACTCTATGAATATATGTTTTAGGATCTTGTGGTGGGTCATATTGAATAATATAATTAATATTATCAAAATCCATTCCTCTTGCTAACACATCTGTACATATTAATATAGCTTCACAACTCTCTTCAAATTTTTTAATAACTTTATCTCTATTTACTTGTTTTACTTTTCCATGAATTGAATATATTTCTTTCTCTTTTAAATATCCTTCTTGATGTAAAATTTTAATTATATTATATATATAATCTACTTGATCACATGTTAATACAAATACAACTATTTTTTTATCTTTACTTTCTTTTAATACTCTTATCAATGTTTGCATCTTTATTTCATATGGAACAATACAATATTCATTTGCAAGTGAAATTGGTGTTAATGTATTATCATTTGATATTTGTATTTTATATGGATTTCTACATCCTGCAATAACAAATTTATTTAATTCTTTTGGCATTGTAGCACTAAATAATCCAGTACGTCGTTGTTTTGGTAAATGACAAATAATACGTGTCATAGATTGTGAAAATCCCATTTCAATCATTCTATCTCCTTCATCTAATATTAATACTTCTACATTATTCCATTCTAATTCAAATAATTTATTTACAATTACTTCTTCAATTCTTCCTGCAGTTCCTACAACAATATTAGCTCCTTTTTTCATTTCTTCTTCTAATGTAGAAATATCAATTCCTCCTGTTAATAATCCAATTGTCATATTAAAATGTTTACAAAATATTTTAGCAATATCATAAATTTGATGTGCTAATTCTCTAGTAGGTGAAATAATAATACCATATACTTCTTTTTTTTCAATACTTTCTCTTTCTCTTTTAATAATTTCAAATAATGGAATTAAAAAAGATAATGTTTTACCACTTCCTGTTTGACTTTGAACAATAACATCTTTTCTATCTAAAAATGCTGGGATTACAACCTTTTGTACTTCAGTAGGTTTACTAAACCCAAATTCTTTGATTGTGTCAAGTGTTTCTTTTCTTAAACTTGGTTGAAAATGTTCAAAATCACTAATCATTACTCTTTTTAACACTTCCTTTTTTAATTTTCATTTTTTAAAAAAGATAAAAAGAAGAAAACCCTTAGGGTTGAATAAGTAAATGAAAAAACAAAAAAGAACAACAATTAAAGTTATTTTGAAGTTCATCTCAATATTTCACTTTTATATAACAAATGGATTGTTTTACACAAAATGAAAATATTTCAGAACAACTTAAATTATCAAATGGTAAATTGTGGTTCACTATTGGTATTCTTAATGAAAATGAAGAATTATATGATGAAGCGATTCGTTGTTATGTTACAGCATTAAATCATAATCCATCTAATCTTGAAGCACTTTCACATTTAGCACATATTTATAAATTAAAAAAACAATATATTAATGCAGTATTTAGTTATGATAAATATTTAAAAATTAATGCAGAAGATGGAATTGCTTGGATGAATCTTGGAGAATGTTTTCTTGCATTACAAGAATTAAATAAAGCACATAGTTGTTTAAAAAATGCAAATAGATTCATTAAACAAGAACCTAAATTATGGTTTCAATTAGGTTGTTTATATGAAAAAGCAGGATTATTTGAACAAGCAGAAGCATATTATAAAAGAGTTTTAGAAAGAAGTTATCCAGAAAATGCAGCAGAACTTCATTTTAAAATGGCAATGATTTATAAACAACATGCACAATATGAAGAATGTTTTGAAATATTAACAAGTGAATGTTGGAATAATCCACCAGAAGGAATGACTCAACAAGATATTCTTTGTCAATTAGTTCAATTATTCCAATTAACTGATTCAATTGAAATTGGTAAAGATGCTCATGAAAAAGCAATTTCTCTTATTAACGAAAATGAACCACCATTTGTTTATATTTTATTAGGATGGTTAACTCATTTAATTGTAATGAATCCAAGTGTTAATGAAGTGTTTCATTTTGAAGAAGAATTCCCTTATCAAATTGTATTTGGAGTAATTCAAAAAGATCCAACAAATGTTCTTGGTCTTTATGTTTATGGAAGAATTCTTGCTGATAGTAAACATCAACAAAATGCATTTGATGCATTTCATCAAGCATTACAACTTGATCATAATAATCCTTTATATTGGTGTTCTATTGGTAATTTATATTATCATACTGAACAATATAGTGAAGCTATTAAAGCTTATTTTAAAGCTATTAGTTTAACACCACAATTACCTGAAGTATGGTTTAATATGGGATCTTTATATATTTTCCATAATCAAAGGGATGATGCTGCAAGTTCATTTAAACGTGCACATGAACTTGATCCAAAAAATCCAACATATAGAGCAATGCTTGATGTTGAAAAAGTCAGTGAAAGACCTCAAATCATAGATCCATCTCCTTTTGCTACATTACCTAATTATACTATTGATACATTTACAAAACCATCATTACCAACAAACATTCCATTGAATGTCTTAACTGAATTACAAAAAATAAGAATTCCTGATTTAACACAAATTTAATTCATTTTTTTTTTTTGTTACTTTTTTAGTATTTTTAAATTGAATATAAAAATTAAATAAAATAGTTATTTTTTTTTTCTTATTCTAAATGTTATTCTAAGTGTTCCATTGTATAGATAGCATATGCTTTAAGTAATAATTGTTGAATATCATTCTTTGTCCAATTTTTAGTTGGTAAATTTTGTAAAAATACAATTAATTCAGCAAAGTCTTTTTGTAAAATAGTAGTACTAAATATTTCTAATAAAGAACAACAACAATATAAATTTAATTCTTCAAATCCATTTCCATTTGGTTCTGAGATATAACCATCCCATAATATTAATGATAAATTTATAGGAAATTCTCTAATTAAACAACAATTAAACCATCTAAATGCAAATTGAATATATTGCATATTTAATTGTTTAAAATGTTCATCAACTCTTTTATTATATTTTTTTGTTAACATTTCTAATTCTTTTAATTCATGATGAATTCCTGGTTGGTCATATGTATAATGACTTTGAATAGATTGTAATATCCAACAAAAACTCCAATAAACATCTGCTTCTAATTCATCTAATTCAGTTTGACTAAACATATCAATTACTTTTTGTTCATAACTTCCAAAATAATATTCATCAATATATACTACTAAAAATGGTACTACCATATCACTCATTCCTTGTACATATCCTGATGCTGGATGTTTAATTGCATATGTTAATAATAATCTTTTCATTAATTGTTGGATTTTATTATGAAATAAAAATGGTATATCTCGTGTTAATCTATTCAAATCTTTAATAATTTGTTCTTCACATTTTTCTTCATTTAATGTTAATCCTCCTTCAAGTAATTTATTTGTCATAAGTAAATAATCTTTTCTTTTATTATGTAAATTTTCTTTTTGTTTATTACTTTCACATGGAATATATCCAATAAGTATTTTCCATACTTTTCCTCTTACTTGTTTTGCAATCCCATTTTTTGATAACTTTGATAATTGTCCTAAAACATCTCAATCACTTTTTTTCTTCTCTTTTCGTTTCTTTTTAAATAATTAACAAATTTTTATAAAATATTCTTCATCATAACAAACTTTTATTTACAAAATCCTTTGATAATATATCAATGAATTGTTGAAGATGTACCATTTCTTGTTCTTCAATAGATTTTGTTTTTAAGGTTAGACAATAATCAAAACTTTTAGTTAGTCTTGAATGAGTAAGTCTTTTCATCATTTTTTGTATGGTGATTCTTTTTAGTTTTTTCTTCCTATTCTCTTTGAAATTTGTTTTTTCAACAACCAAAAAAAAAACTCAAAGAAGAAAAAAGGGTTGTTATTGAACTAACTTATTTTTCTTCTATTCCATGTTTCATTTACACGTTCATTCCATTGAAAAAAAAGACATTGGTCTTTCATCCATTAAAACAATATCCAATTTAAATACTGATGATAATGAAGTTTATTTCTATCAAGATCCATTTATTTATTCTTATAAAACAAATGGTACATTAACAAAATTAACTATCCAAAATCTTCCTGATAATATTTATGATATTGTTTATAATGCAGATACTTCAAAATTATTATTTATTAATGAAAAAGGTGTTTATGAATCTTCAATTGTTAATGGTACAGCAACATTAAAAATAAATAAAGAAGGAATTAAACGAATTAAATTAAGTGATGATTGTAATTTTATTTTATTAATAAGTTCATCAGAATTATTAATGTATACTCCTGAATTTTCTCTTCTTAATTCTTTTTCTATTAGAGATGTTATTGATGTTTCCTTTTCAAGTAATACTCAATATGTTGTTGTTTTAACTACAACTGAAATGATTGTATTATCAACTGTTTTTAATATTAGAAATAGAGTAACAATTTCTAATCCACAATGTATGTCAATTAGACCATCTAATGAATTTATTACTGTAGCAACTGATAATATTTTAAATTTTATTGAAGAAAATTGTAATATTTATAAAACATTTAATCAACCAAATGAATATCATTCAAAACTTTTATCATGGAATTCAACATCTCAATTACTTTTACAAATAGTTTCAACACCTCTTCATGATATTCTTATTATCTCTTGTTATTGTTATGGTAAATTAATTCCAAAATATAGTAAATCTTTATCATTAATACGAACTGCTTTTTGGGATGAAGTTAATCCAATGAAATTTCATATTATTACATCTACTAATGAACATTTAACATTTAATTTCTTATTACCTATTTGTTCTACAAATGACCCAACATATAATATAATTATTCATCCACACACATATAATGATGTTTCTTTAACAGATTTAAATAAAGGAATTATGCCACCTCCTTTATGTCATATTTCTATTCCAATTCAATCAACTCAATATATTTATTCTAAAATAATTAATAATGAACCTTATATTATTATTATTGATTTATTTAATACTATTCATATTTTAAAATATATTGATAATCAAGTTAATAAAATTAATGAAATAAAATGTCCTGTTGATTATCCAACAAATATTTGTTTACTTTCTTCATTAGAATTATTTATTATTGATTCTACAAATCAAACATCAGTCATTGTTAATATTAATAATGGTGTTAATAATAAAATTGAATTTACAAATCTCCCATCACAACTCCATTCTCTTACTCAACTTAATGAAACATTATATTTCCAATTATTTAATGGAACAATTATTACTTCTCAAAAAACTACTCCTAATGATTATGTTATTAATTCAGAATTATCTTTATCTCAATTCATGCCTGAATATTCTATAGTTCAATTCAATAATAAAATTCATTCTTTTGCATTATTTGGTCATAAACTCTATGATAATAATACTGAAATAGGTGAAAATGTTAATTCATATTTGATTTCTAATGATTATATTTTCTATACTACATTAAAACATACACTTCATGCAATTAATACAAAACAACATTCAATTTTCATTAGGTCTATTGAACGTGGTTCAAGTATTATTAGTTATGTACCAAATGATACAAAACTTATCTTCCAAATGCCAAGGGGAAATCTTGAAGTTATTCATCCAAGAGGTGTTATTCTTGATATTATTACTGAGTTACTTAAAAAGAAAGACTATAAACAAACATTTGAAGTTGTAAGAAGACATAAAGTTAATTATAATTTTATTAGAGATTATGCTTTTAATCAAATTGTTGATGATATTCCACTCATTATTACTCAAATTGGACGTGCTGATCATGTAAATGCATTTTTATTATCATTAGAAAATGGTATTCTTGATCCACCTTATTCATATTATATTGAACATTCATTTGAAGATCATACAGAACAAACAAAAACAATTGCATTAGCAATTAGAAAATATCTTGTTGATTCACATTTCCCTTGTGATTTTGTTACAACATACCTTGCTACTTACCTTTTATTACAACCAATTGATTTTGCTATAGTTTTGAAGGATTTATTTAATTTTGATGAACAAGGTAAAATAGATGGTATTAAATATTTAAGTACATTCTTCCCAATTAATGCTATTTTCAAATCAGCATTACAAACACAGTCTAAGAAAATCGCTCAATTTGTCATTTCATATTCTTCACTTGATCCAAAAGAATATGAAGAACAAATTAATGCTCTTTCATTAGATTAATTTAAATTTTGAAATTTTTATTCATTTCTTTTTTTATTAGTTTATTTATTATTTATAATTATTAAAAATGTCATAACAAACCATTTTCTCATTTCTCTCCTTTTCCTTTTTTTGTTTTATCATTTTATTCTTATTCAATTCTTCTAATGATATTTGTCATTTTGTTCATTCTAATTATTACATTTTCACTAAGTACCTAATCATTGTATTGATTCAAATAATAATGATTGTATTAAATGTGAACTTAGATTTATGTTTGGTACAATTTTAGACAATAAAGCTGGTTGTTTACAATGTTATCTAGGATTTTGTAGAATTGAAAAAAATGAAAACCAAATATTATTTGTTGGATGTTAAGGGACATGTATTGACTGTGATGATCAAATTGGATGTGATTCTCTATTGCACCAATGTGATTCTTGTTCATTAAAAATATTCAATTCAAATAACTACTCAAATGAACAATGGAGATTATGTATTAACATATATTTCATTTGAAATTACATGTTTAATTTCATCATTATATGTTAAATAACTTCCATCCAATTTATAGACACTTGGATGTTCTAGTTGTGATGATACATGAGAACAACAATTTGTAAATCTAAACAATAATAAAAGAAATAATCCTTTGTATTATAAAATGTATATTACTTCACAAATATTAAAGAATTATCATTGTATTGAATGGAATACAATATCTGGTTGTATTAGTTGTAGTAATAGAGTACAACATGTATAGAATGTTCATAAGGATATCATTTAATTCAAATAAATGAGAATATATGTTATCTAAATTATGGAATTGAAAATTGTGATAGTTATGGAATTGATTCAGATACAAATGAAAGTATAGGTTTATTATATTCCAAAGATTTAACATTAATTGATAAAAAAAACATGTTCAAAATGTTCTTTTCTAATAACAAATTCTTCTGAATGTTATTATGATAAATATGAATGGTAAATTATGTAAGAAAAGATATGTTCATTCAACAGATACTATTTGTATTTCTTCAGAAACAGTTATTCTTCATTATTTAATTTATGAAAAACAAACAATTGGATATATTTAATGTGAAAATAATTATGTTTTAATACTATCAACTTCATGTATTTCATGTAAAGATTATTTTACATATTGTCTAGAATGTAATTCAACTCATTGTAATGTTTGTGAAGAAATGTAGATATTTGACTCATTTAAGATAAGACTGTGTTTATGATGATTCATCTTCATTATTATTTATTAGTATAGGATTAATAATAATGATTATACTTTTAATTAATTTAATTAATTTAAATATTTTTGTAAATATCAATTATCATTAATCAACAATCCATTATAATCTTCTTCTTGTTCATCATTCGTTGTTATTATTCCTTTTTCTAAAATTCATTAACAATTAATTCCATAACATAAAAAATTGAGATAAAAACAAACTGAACAATTGTTTTAAAGGTATAAAACATTGTTTTTCAAAAATAAAAGGAGAATATACTAATATTTGAGAAACAAGAATACCATCGCAAATTAATTGAAAGACACCACAACATACAAATTGTAATGGAACATTAAGTTCAATAAAATAAATTGTTTTGAAGAAATCACCTATAATCCAACCACCAATAGTAGAAAGTGGTAATCCTTCTGCATTTTTTGTTTTATAATTTTTAAGTATTTGAGGAAAGGCAAGAAGAATTTCAATTGTAGTTGATAATCCACCAATACATTGAACAATAAGATTAATTTTTCTTGTGACAAAAGAAATAAAGATAACAATGGTTGTAAATAGAAGAAATGTAGTTATAACTTTTGAGTATATCAAGTTATGAAGTAGTTTAGATGATAAAAATATTAAAATTAACATTGTAATAATAATAAAGATACTTTGAATCAATAAAGAGATTTCAAAAGGTTCTCCAATATAAAAACCAATTCTGAGAACATTACTTATTAATAAAATATAACAAGTTCCAATACTAAATGATTTAAATTGTTGTTGATTATTGTGAGATATGAAAAATTGAGTATAAGGAAGAATAGGCATAACAATCATCAAAATATTTATAAAATAAGTGATGAATAAAGTAAACATCAAATTATAAATATTTAAAAGTTCTTTTATAAAAAGATCAATTATCATAAGGAGAAGATGATTTTCTTTCATTCCAAAACATTTTAAGTGATGTTATGAATGGTTTGTCACAAAGCCAAATAACTAGTAATTCAATAAATCCTAAACATACACCTAGAATCAAACAAATAAATGATTGGGTTGAAAAGATATATGAAATATAAGTATTAATTCCAAAAACTACAAATAAAGATACTAAAGTAAGTTTAGTTGGAGTACATTTTTTCCAAGGTAAATAACCATATAATTGATAAATATTATAATGAGAATAAAATGCACGTAATATCATAGAAATTATATTAGAAATAAATAAACCTGAAGGACCAAATAATTTAGATAATACAATACATAAAGAAACATAGATAATAGAAAAAAGAAACATCAAATTATTTGATGTATTTAATTGTTCATCTGTTGCTGTTGCATGGAAAAATGATTCTGATATTCCATTAATAGCTATAGTACTTATAGTAATAAATGCAATAATAAGTAAATAAGAATTATTTGTAAATTCTTCATTTTTATATAAAAAGTCAAGAAGAGCTTTTGAATAAGGAGGACCAAAAACAAGAATAAGTAATGATAAATGAAGAATTATTTTTAAAAATGAACAAAATGCATTAAGTAATTCATCTTTATTTTGACGAATTTTAGAAAATAAAGAATAACTAACATCTTCTATTGGTAAAAATAAGAATCTAACAACTAATGATGAAATATTTGAAATAACACTAAATATTCCTTGAATTGTTAATGTTGTTGTTACAATAAGAACTGCTTTTTCACCTTCTTGAAGTAAAAACTTTTGAATAGTTTGTCTTCCAAAAAGCCATAAATTATCTGAATGTGATTTTAATGATTTAAATGAAATCATTTGAATATCAATTTGAGGGAGTTTAATTGAATGATGATAAGAAATAAAAATTGTTAATGAAGATAATGCAAATAATGTTGGTTGAATAATTAATGCATATTTTGGATATAATGAAATTAATATTGCTTGTAATATCATTCTAATAAAAATACTTGGTAATTCACAATAAATTCTAAATATATGTTTTTGTGTTAAAAGCATATAAACTAGATATGGTTCTTGAATAAGTTCTAAAAATAATCCTATTGAATGTATGCAATAAGAAAGTAATGCATATTTCATTTCAGGTGCTTGATAATAAAGAATAGGAAGTGCAATTATATTGATAATTAATCCAACAATAATAGTAATTAAACTAAAGGATATTCCTTTTGATAAATTATCTGTATATTTTCTCATAATTGTTCTTCTGGAAAATTCTCTTGAAAGAAAATAAACTATATTCATTAATAATTGAAGATGAACATGAAAAAATCCTGTTACTTCTTCACCAACAGATCTAATAACTATTACATTAGAAATAAATGTTATTGACCTTTGTAATAATTGAAAAAGAACAGATGATGCAATTCCACGTAAAGCTCCACCTACAGTTTGTTGAGGACAATTCATTATTAATTATCCTTTTTTAAGTTTTTTTTTTTATTAAAAAAAAAATAAAGTATCGTTAAGTGAAATAATTAATAAAAGAAAAGAAAATCAATTAAATTGAACAAGATCATTTTCATTAACTCCTTTTGATCTTGCATATTCTAAAACATCAGCCTTCACATCTCTAATAATTTTAGAAGTACTTAAATAACCTCTATCAAATACACTTTGAATACCTGCATGTTCTTGTTTCATATTAGATTTATGAATTGTTAATCCTCTTTTACAAGTAAAAAGTGTACGTTGAAGTAATGAATATAAATTTAAGACATAATCAACATCATACTTTTGAATATTAGGTTGTTTAAGAAAAGTATCACAAATAGCACCTATTCCACCATTTACTTCAGCAACAAGAATACCTTTAAGTTTTGGTTGTAATGACATAATATTAGTATCTTTATTTTTAAAATCTTCAATTGATGTAGATAAATCTTCTAATTTATTATCTACATCATCAATACAACATTCAATTGGAGACATTACTTTTTGAATAACACTTTGAACTTCTTCTCTTTCAAGAACTGAAGGAATATTATGTTTTGTTTTATAAATTGTTCTAACTTTTTGTGTATCTTCTAATCCAGGATGTTTTTTATCTGTTTTACATGTTTGTTCACTTACAAAAACTCCTACTCCTGTGAAATTTACATTGAAATTATTTTGTTTTCTTCCATCTTTAAATGGATAAACATTAACAACTGTATAAAATGGAGTTGTACATTTATCAATATCAATTCCTTCAATATTTGTTTTCCAATCTGGTGAAATACCAATTCCATTAAGATCTTTTTTACGCATTTCTTTAATCTCATTTCCAAATTCTTTTAATCTTAAAGAACTTCTATAAATATATTGTTTTTTATGATCTTTTTCAAATGCTTTTTCTCCATAAAATCCTACACAATAATAATACCAAATAAATGGTTCTGTAATTCCATTATAAAGAGTATTAACTTCTTCATGTGCAAGTGCTAATTCTGCATAATTTTTATTAGAAATAAAATATGGAATAATAAAGTTATATAATGCAATAGCAAATGAATAAACATGTGCTGTTTTAAATAATTGTACTCCATGTTTGACTTCTTCTACTAATGTATCAGTATTTAATGTTGTTGAACTACTTTGGAATGATGGTTGTTTATAATCTAAGAAATCATTAGTAATTTCTTTTAAATATTCTACATTTAATGGATGAATATCATCTTTAATTGTACAATAAATAAAATGAATAATATGAACAATAGCAATTCCTGCTTCAACATAATTTCCTCTTTTTTCATGTTCATTTGCAATCATTTTAAACCATGGAATATGAATTTGTGGACAATCAATATATTTTTGTGCAATTTCTAATTTTCTTTCAGTAATTAAATCAATAGCTTTTTCACTACTCTTTTTAAGTATTTCTAAATCAGATAAATCTCTTAAAAATGATTGAACATGATCTCTTAATAATTTTAATTCTTCTCCAAATTTTTTATTATTTTGTTCATCATCTTTCATTCCACTTTGTTGAATTTCTTGTGCTGCTTCATTTTTAGATGGTAATAATATAATAAATTTAGGATGTTTTTCACAATATTCTTGAATTTTTTGAATATCTTCTTGATTTACATATTTATTATATGATGGGATTTTTTCATTTTCTATATTTTTAATAACTTGTGATATTTCAATTAATTGTGTTGTTGGTTCATCATTTTGGAATTGAAGTAATTGAACTGTAACATTAAAACAAAGTGCATATTCTTTTCTTTTATCTTCATACTCTTTTTCTTTTTGACTTTCTTTATTTAATAATCTCATTTGTCCTAATAATTTTGTTCTTAATTGAGGTGGTGGTAATATTTTCTTTCCAAGTTCAATAAACATTCTAAATGATTTTTCTTTTTTATAATTATCTCCATAATATTCTTGAATTATTCCATAACTCGAATTAATACTTCTAAATCGTTGATTTAATTTTCCTGCCATGCTAATAATATCTTCTATTTGATGTGTACCTACTACAAATTCTGTAACATCACTTACTGCAACTTCCCATGCATAAACTTTAACTATTTCTTCACTTGCTGATAATTCTACATCCATTTGTTCATTTTCATCTAATACTTGTTTTTCAAATCCATTAATAATATCTTGTAATTCAGTTGCACTTTTTAATACTCCTATTCCCATTGGTAATATATTATTCCAACTCTTAAATACTACATTCCATGATGAAATAGACATAACTTCATTTTCTTTCTTTAAAAATTCATTATGACTTCTTTTTGCCATTTCAGTTATAGCATTTAATTTTCCAATTGTTTGTTGAAGTTTTTGTTGTGATGAAAGTAATACCATTACATTATCATCTTTTGTTGCTAAATTATCACATGCATCATTATATAATTTACTTAAACTTTCAGATGATTTTTTTAATTCATTTTCAAATTCTTTCATTTTATTTTCATGTTCTTTTTCAACTTCAATTTGTTCTTGTTCAATATTAATTCTTGCTTCTACTAATTCTTTTGTTTTATTAATAATTTCTTTTAACGTATCTCCACTTATAGAAATACTTGATCCAACTTCTTTTAATTCTTTAATATATTCTTCAAATTGTTTTTGATGTTCATCTAATTCTTTACATAATTCTTTAGCTTTTTGTTTATATTCTTCTTGTTTCATTTGATGTTCTCCAGTAAATGCAACACAATCTCTTATTGTTTCTAAAACTCCTCTAAGATAATTATTTGTTTTTAATTTTAATCCTGAAATAGTGGTTTCTACTTTAACATTTTTTTCATATTTATTTAATAATGTTTGTGCTGACTCATTAACTTCATTAACAGGATCTTCTTTCCATAAATTGATTAGTTGTCTAACAACTCGTTCTTTTGTTCTCCATTTTCTATCTCCTCCATTTTGATCTTCATCAATCATTTCAAGAAGTTTTAATCTTCTTTGAACTACTTTATTTCTATAATTTTCAAATGCATTAATATCAATAACATCAACTGATTCTTTTTGTTTCATACTTTCTTCTTTTTGTCCATGGAATTTTTCTTGTGAAAAATCGTCTCGTGCCCATTGTTCTAATGTATTTAATGCTCTTTCAATTAATGAATTATCTTCCCCTTCCTTTGTTCCAATAGTTGCTAGTGCAGCAACTGTATGAATTCTCATACATTGTGTACTTCCTAGAATTTCATAATTTGTTCTAACAAATAAATAAAATACTGATGTTGCATTTGTTCTAATATCTGGATCAGGATAATTACAATAGTTAATAATTCCTCTTAATAATTTATATGAAAAATCTAAATTCTCTTTAAATAAATAATCACCATATGTTCTAACTAATTTTCTTATAAATTGGAAAAATCGTTTAATATATTGTGCAGGTGGTGGTTGAACAAACATTTTATCACTTATAAACCTATTAATTTTATTCATTTCATCTACATCTTTTCTTTCAAATAATTCTTCAAATAAACAATCAACAACATCAAGAATAACTAATAACATGTCATCATAAATAATATGATCTCTTGTTTCATCTCTTTCAATTGGTGCTTCTTGTACATCATTTCCAAATATTTTTCCTAATTTTTTATTTCTTTTAGTATATGCTTCTGCACTTCCTAATCCTGGTGATGGTCCAAATAATAATAAATCTTGTGTATTTTTTTCATTTGCTTTTGGTCTTTGTTTAACAATACTTCTTTCTTCTTTTGAATTTTCTTCAAACATTGAATTTAATCTTAATTTTTCACTTTCTGCTACTTGGAAATTTTGTATATATTCATTAACTAATTGTTTTCTTATTCCTAAATACATTCCATTTACATTTCTATATTTCTTTTTATCACTATCATTTTTACATATTTCTCCTGGCATAAAACTAAGAATTTCTTTTGCTGAAACAAGTAATTCAATAAAATTCATTATTTTTGAAACTACTTCTAATGAAATATATCTTTTTAAAACTTCTCGATTTACATTCTTTAATATCCAAATTAAACAAAGATAAAGGTCTTGTGTTTCAAATGTTTTTAAATTCTTTGTTGACCAAATGTCTGTTATTCGTTCAAAATTATCTATAAAATCAAATACAAATGGCATGAAATATTCTGCTATTCTTTCTTTTTTATTTTCAAATCTAACATCTAAATCACAAAGAATAATTCTCTTTAAAAGAATTACTAATGCATATTTTGAAATTTCATTACTTCTTGATAATAATTTAATAAATGATGTTTCTATACTACTTGCAAAATAATGTCTTTCATTAAGTAATGATCTTAATTCACCAACACTTTCAAATAAATTCGGTTTAACAAGTAATGGAATATTAACTTCATAAAAATATTCATATGAATTTAACACACTTATGAAATCAACTCTAAGTATTTGTGTAGCTAACCAACATTTACTTCTTTTTTCTGGACTTGGAATAACTGATTCTACTTCTATATGATTTGCATTCATTGGATCTCCTACAGGTTCAAATAATGTTGTTGTTTGTGAATCATAACATCTTGATAACGCATTTATATAACTATCCATTGCTTCAAACCCAATGGTATGTGAATAAATTCTTATTAAATCATTTATAAATAATCCAAAATCTGCATTTAAATAAAATAATCCATTTGTTTCTTGTTTAGATAAACAAAGTCTAAGTCTAATAGTTTGAGCTAATGTAGTTCCTAATTCAATGACATCAGAATTAAATTGTTGGAAAATAGGATTTTCTCCTAATTGTCTAATTTTTTCAAGTCTATTACTTGAATCAAAAATACCTAATTCTTCAAGATATAATGTTAATGATTTAATAATAACATCAAAGAAAAACCAACAATATTCTACAGCAACATCTACAACAACAAGTCTTTGGTCTGTAGTATCTTTTTGATATAATATCTTTTCAAAATACCATAATAAACAATTTGTAAGTTTCATAAAAA